CTGACAAGATGTGGGCGAGCTGAATGCACATGCCATGTTTTTTCCATCCCAGTGTGGAGCAATTTCGTTTAAAGCCATATGCTAGGTTTATGAATAAATTTGATGCTATGTTTGTCTGCTATTCGTGAACAATTTTGGATACATCATTCTGGATTTCCCAGCATTCAGACGCCCTCCACACCTTTCTGATGCACGACCCGTTGGACACCTTCCAGAAGCTGAGCGGGTCTCTTCCCTGTGGAGGAGCAGCGCCGCGTGAGCGGAAGCTGCAAAGGCTCTCTGTGTCAGCTCACTACCGCCAGCAGTCTGAGCAGCCCCCACCTGCGGGCTGAAGACTTCAAACATCTCTCCGCCCTGATAGCCGTCGCGGAACAGCGCCCCGCTCGGCATCCGCGCTCCAGAGCCGCCAAAGCCGCGGCAACAGGACGCTCAACTTTGTGCGCCTGGTCCCTTGGGTCCGTCTTGTGGACACACAGCAGCGGAGGGACCCACGGGCGGGGTCGGGCGAGTCACTCTGTCAGTGGAATCTGGGCCCTTTGTCGGAAGGAAGTGTGGACTGGAGCGCCGTCAAGACAAGGGAAGAAAGGGGCGGGCGTCGAGTGTGGGCGAAGGGAGCGGAACCTTGGGCGGGCCCATGATACAAGGAGCATAAAATAGCGTCGGATCATTGGACCTGGATGTGGAAACGTGCAGTACAAGGGGGCGTACCGGTGGTACAATGTGCGGGGCCATGTTTGCTTTGCGCTGCGGCTGGCATGAAGAGCGACGCCGCAGGAGATGCAAAGATGCCATGCAGATGATGCTGCAAGAGGTTTTGCGATAGTCGTAGATTCTGTAATAGTTGGTGAAACAAAACCAAAACACGAAACATCTTACATCTTCGGAGCTGAATGTCTCAACATATGTGAAGTTGCTGAAGGCTGTGGGCGTCAGGTCCCACCGGTGGGACTAGCAGTCGCGGGGCAGGTGCAGTACAGGCGTGCACCATATAGGTTACCTAATTCAAGAGAAACAACAAAGCCATGTGGTGATTACTGTGGTATATCGCCGACATCGGGAACAGATATTCCATGCGAGGAAAACTCATGTACCTAATGTTTATTACACTGCAATGTCAGCGGCATACTTTCGCTGGATGCTACAGGATACTCGATGGATATGCTCGCTGACAGGATACTACTGACTGGCGCACAAAGTCATCTGGACCGCATACTTGCCTTCGTAGCGAGCCATGCTTCTGCCGTATTGTCCCACAGGCGCATATGAAATTCCATTAGCTGCGCTTATTGTGGTGCCCAGGAGCAGCGTTTCCATTAGATACAAAATTAAATTCTCCTCTATGATGGGATCTCCATTAGACCAGAAGAAGGCACAACACACGGTGCTACTGTTCCTATCGATGCCTTTCCGAAATTCAATTGGAGCGCGGCGGGAGAAGATGGTGGCGGTTGGGTTGGGTTGGGTAATTCACAGTAGAGTGTGTCCAATGACGATCCTATGCACACCAGGAAGAAAATCGGTGATGCTGGGTAGCGCTCTCAAGGCCGTTGAAATCGCATTTCCACCCGTACTGAGCTGGAAGGATATGTCAGAGAAGATTGCCCACAACGAGCATAGCTTTTACGGGAATGCCGAGAGGCTAAGCAGTGTATGCCTCAGTCAGACCGATTTTGTTTGTCGCGAACTGCCAGTGCATTCCCATAGGTTTGCCGCCAGCACCGCAAGAGAACTGCTTCATTGGCGCTCCGCACAAATTCCGATGGCAGCCAAGGAGACAGACAATGCGCCGCAGCCGTCTGCACAGAACTTCTGCTCCCAATCTCGCTCATAATAAATGAACACGTATATGAAGTACGCAGTAATATGAATATGTTTGCTCACCTTGTATGCGGAAGTGAGCCACCATTTCTGGAAACGATGCCTTGTGCAGGTGCTGTTGCCCCGAATGGGGTATTTTGCCCTGATGGGCGATGTTGAAGCAACTTGCCAGCTGGCGGATTGACACGACGTGTAGCCAGTTTTTGCCGAGCCACTGAGACAATGGAGCAACGCTCCTCAAAAAAATGCCGAAGAAAATAGCTCTTGAAGAAAGCCGGCCACAGGTTCTCCGAAGCATAATGGATGCCTGCTCGGGGCGCACAGAGCTGTCCATTGTATAGCTAGGCGTGCCATTTATGTGTAAGTCGTGAACGGTCCTGGTGGCGAACGACACCCTGCTGGTGAATGCCCGGGTATGTCACGAACTGAAAATATGGAAAGCAGGTTGTCGTCGATTTGTGGCATGAGAGCTTGGGCAGCTTCATGCAGTTCTGTATGGAATAGTCCGTTTGGGCGCAGCGGTTCGATCGCGGCACCAGCGGATTTCTTGGGTTTTTTCAGGCTCGGATTTTTTGATAAGTAGAGTGTCCTGCGATCTGATTTAAATTTTGTACGCTTTCTCAGATTCGCATGTACCCTTGATATGATATTATCCCCATGAGGCGCGCTGAGCGTCGGAGGCTGGCAACATGTGTCCTAAGGCGCTTTCCACCGTACATCATGTGAAAGGTGTATGATATATTTCGGATTCGTGAATCAGGACTGGGTGAATTCTTTCATTCACAAACTTCTTGTTTAAAAGATGTTGACATTGTGCTGAACAGGCTTAATCTTTACGCCTTAAGCACGTTCGTATTTACGAATATTTACCCAACAAAATGGGTTTTACGTTTTCACGCGTAAGTAGGCATAAAATTGTGCAAAAATGGACCATACGTGCCGAAAGGCAGTACATACCCTCTCAAGGAGTCCGGGGAGTGGTGACTAGATGAGCTGAAATGTGCAGGAAACGACTTTTTGCGCAACGACGCCGTTTCCCTTGCCGAGGGTGAGGTGGGCGCAGTGTTGCCGTTGCTCGAGGGGTTGGAGACCTCGTCATTGTTTGGGGCATCATGATGAAATCTGGAAGTGTCGGCGAGCCGTAAATACGCGTCAAAATGGCCTTAAATGTGCGTCAAAATGACCTTAAATGTGCGTAAAAATGACCGTAAAAATGGTCGCTTCTCTGTTTACGCATTTTTACGTGTAAAACGTAAACGTTAAAATGGAGCCGTGAACGCAAAGACCAAGCCTGGGGCTGAGCGCGTTACAATAATAATTTCCCCTCCTGCTTGCGTCTAAGGGAAGACACTGTTTTGAATTTTGTACGCTTCGCGTCAAACCGACGCGATAGTATCTTCCCTAACTCTGAGTGCATGTGAACGTCCCTGTACCACATCAGGATCAATTGCGCTTTTCGCTATGTTTTTTTCTGTTCCCGTAAGATTTCGTGCCCATTTTTACCTGTGCACTGTATCTGGACCATTTTGAGGATGTCTGGCGCCAGGCTGTTGTAGTGACACTATCAGATGCCATTGGCGTCATGCCACATATGCATTGTAGTTTCAGCCTTCAATCCAAGGCCCAAACTAAATGAGTGTAAATAACAAGACCTACGCACTTTCTGCTTCATGTGGGGTTGTCATTTCTATGACATAGCTGATGACACTTGAGGTTTTAGCTCATGGCCACTAGTGTGGTGCTTATGGAATAACACGATGCTGTAAAGTTCTGTGCGAGCCTCAGGGACTTCGCAATGGAAATGTGGGAGTTCTGTATAATTTGGATACAAATAAGTTCGCCAATGTGTCTTGTCTACAAGGAAACTTGTGGGGAACCTGGGTGCTATTTTAGCGGCTTTCCTGTACATCAACAATTGCTTGCAACCCACTTGAACCTGAACTGCTGACTGCAGATCTAGAAATGTACAGCCATGAAAGCATGAACAGTGTAGTATTCGGAAATGCGGTGGCTGGGCGAATTTGAAATGCCTAGGGCTTTTCTATCCGTCACTGCAAGGAATAGTCCACTCTCCAATATGGCTCCTCACTGGATCGAACCTGATACCATATGGTCATTCTGCCATCAACACGTTCAAGCAACAACTGCGAGAATTGTGGCACAGAGTAATTCCCAATCTTACGACTTGCCTATTTGCCGACTGACAGTTTTCCCACTTCAGGACAACACAACATGTGCGTCAATGCTGTACGGAATCGCACAGCCTCCGATGCAGTGCTCATACACATGCTGTGCGAAGGCGCTGGCTGCATTTTCCCTGGTCTGCTGTCTAGGTGAAACAGCAACTGTCGCCAGGTGCATGAAAGAAGTTTCATCAGGAACAAGATTCAACATCGATGAGATGGTTCTGATGAAGCAAAAGAAGCAATGGGCAATTCTGTCCTCCCCAATGTTCTTGACATTGTTTTCAACACAGCTGAGGATGTTGCACAAGCGGCCACCTGCAGCAGTAGAGAAAAATAATTTATTTGAGATGAAGTTGGAAAACACGACAGCCACAACAACCCGGTTGAGCAGTCTGGCATATTCCGCAGATTTTATTCCAAAAAGATCTACAATCCAAAACAAGGTTCCAAAATAAACGTGTATTCCAGGGCCCGGAAAAGGCCCATCTGAGGAACAACGCGGCTCACCCTTTTGGCTCGAATGGAAGGGAAGTGCTTGCTGACGTGGAAGTTCCAGGCGGAGAGATTGAAGTATTGTACTCAAGCGCAGCAAGGAGGGTCCTGTTCATGAACCCCAGCCCCATGTGACCATGAAGACAGAGCAGTAGAGGACCCATACTCAAATGAGATTGGACAACGTGGCGTCTTGGTGCTGACGAAGGCAGGCAGGGGCGAGGGGTGGCGACCCCTGACTGGGCACCGTAGCCTCGAGTACACGGCAATGGTTTGCATCCAAGCAAAGGCACAACGGGGTGTCTGTCCCTTACATTCAATCCGTTCATCAGTGCCCTTAAAATGCAATTCCTAATGCCTCATCACCTCTTCATGCGCCCAGTCGTTAATAGTACTTGATCAGCTCTGGCGACAACGGTGCGAATGGGGTGCAAACGGGAAGCTTCCTCGGGTTCCTTAAGGAACAGCAGATTTGCACTCTCAAAATTGATGCCATCAGACTGGATGTCGACTTCCGCCATCCTGCTGGCAGGGATTGGCCTTGAGCCGGCCACTGGGTCCGCGGAGAGGGAGCGCCATGCCGCGCAAACCGGGGATTGCTGGCCTCAAGGCCAGGCAACAGGCGCGGGTAGGCGATGCGTTCGTTTCCTCCCCCTTGGCTTGCCTCCGTCGACGTAGAAATGCAGGGTGCGGCTTCCGGGGCAGATGACCATTCGCCTGCGCCAACGGAGAGGCTGTGTGTCTCCTTGTGTGTGTCCTGTAAAGGAGTTGGCGGTTGAAGGCCGGGGCAGATGCTGCAGTCTGACACGAGCCTGGGCGTTGCTTGGGGTTCCAGAACCAGTTTCAGGTGGCGGGAGATCGAGCAAAGGAGACCCAGAAGGAGCAGATGAAAACCCAGATGGCGAGCTTTAAGAAGAGCTTGGAGGAGTTTGCGATGAAATACAAGCAGGACATACGGAAGGATCCCGTCTTCCGTGCTCAATTCCACCAAATGTGCGCAAACATTGGCGTGGACCCTCTGTCCTCGAATAAGGTATCATGCGGCGTAGATTGTGGGAACTGTGGCAAGCGCTTCGGCTGCACTGGCAGCACCAGTGTATCGGCGGGTGTTCTCCGCAGTTGGCATTCGATTAACATCTTGCAATGGCTCAGAATGGGTGCACTGAACCTAGGAGGCAAATGATGCAGCAGAAGGGAGGCCTTGGTAGAAAAATGCTCATCATAGCGTAACACTGAGGCCTGTACGTTCGCTGCTGGAATTCTGGCGGGGGAAAAATGCTCATCATAGCATGAAATCAAGGCTTGCCCGTTCCCTTCTGGAGTTTTGGCCTGGGAAAGGCCCGGTTAAGGTCCGGTTTTTTGATGTCTGTGCAAACCAGGAGCCCCAATATTTTGGAGGCACACACACAGTTCAGAACACTGTTGCCTCTGGTCTTTTCAATGCGGGACCATTCGCTTGCAGAGATGGAAATGTGGGAGGAAGTATGGAAGGGTTTGGCACCAAAGGGTTAATACTATCAGTATGTGTGTGTGTGTGTTCTGGCGGATTGAGAGCCATGGTACTGTCTCGTTGGCTTGTGGTTCCTAGTGTGCAACCCAGCACATGGGACAGCTTGGGCCACAGTGATGACACCAAGTCGCCCACAAATCGAGTCGTTGCTGACCAAGCAGTGGCGAATCGAATAGCCCAGCAAGAAACCTGATTTCTGTATGATTCTGGGTTCTTGAGTTGGCATTTTCGTGGTAGTTACGATGCATCATTTTGTTGGTTGGATGAAAAGAGCGAACATGATTATTGTCATTGTGCTGTGTGTTGGGCAGGGGTATTGGGCAAGTTTGTTGGGGCTCGGTGACTTCTACTATGAATTGGGAGTCCAAATAATTGAAATATGCATCGCTGCAAGAACCGTGTCTGGCGGCCTTCTTGATTTAAATTTTCTAGAAAGGTAAGGTCCATGTGATGCCTGCTTTGAGTTCTCTGCGACTTCATCAATATGCCATGCCTACACATGTACCAGTTGCCAAATTCATTGCAATGTGTGTGAGCTGGACATCCATGTAGAGTAGTGGACTGGAATTGTTTGTCAAATTGCAACAGATGGTGCACATTGTGGTCTGCAAGCCCCCTTAGCTGGATTTGATCCCACAGAACAATCAATGACTGGGGCTGAACCAGCTGCAAGGAGCCGAAGTCCACATGTCTCAGATTTCTGAGACTGACAAAACTGTTGCATGTGCACCCAGCATCAGCTGTTTTTCTTGCTGTCCATATTTTGACCAGGTCCCTTCTTGCTCGACGGGGATCTGCTGCTGAAGCGGTGGCTCAAAGTGACATCGTGGCAGCCATCAAGAAGCTCAAGGTCTTGGGAAACGGATATGACCTTGTCACACTTGGCAGTAAGTCATATGTGAGGTCTGTGCCAGTGGAGCTCAACACAGACAAGAACCGAGTGCTGGAACTTGCACAGGTGGGGAGATGACTTTTGTTTGCCGTGCACCAATGCAGTTCCTGTTCATGTCAATATGTTCGTGCTGCAATGGTGCCAGTGTGGAAGCTTGCAACATAGATTAGCTCCACAGTGTGTTGCTGTCATTACCCTCCAATGCATTGCACTTGCTCTTTGTGTAGCTTGAATTGTATTTCTGCATTCTGTGTGCATGTGTGGAACAGATGTGACCACTGAAACTGACCTTGCTGTGCTGAAGTTAGGCATACCTTCAAAGGTGGAAGCAAAGAAATATGAAATCCTTGTTAAAAAAAATTGGCAGAGCAATGGTTTGATGCACATTGTGGTCATTTGATGCATCACATCCCTTTTCGGGACTCTTGAAATCTTGCTTTTGCGACTTCAGCAGCATCACTTTCCAAAGAAGGCGACGTCGACTGCTGCATGATGGCAATGGCAGTCTCAAGGCAACAATTTTCATGTTAACATGGAATAGATGATGTTCACCCCCACATTTGTCTCCATGCCGCCACTGCAAGGTGGCTATTTTCTGGTGGTTTGGTGGCAAGAAAACCACGACGAATTTCGAATCTTGCCCTGCTGGCTCCACTGCAGGGCCGACTTCGCCATGCGTTGGGAAAATTGATGATGCTCAGCTGCAGTTTGTGCTTCGATGGCATTAATTCAATTGAACAGAATAGCCCAGCCATCTGCAAGGCTGTGCAGGGCTGAAGGCCAGCTTCAGTGTTTGCTCCTGAATCCTGCTGTCTGCTGTGGTGTGACCAACGCATAACAGGACACGGGGTACCTTTCAAAAAGGGAGCTCATGGAAATGGCAAAGTGGTCGGACACGCGCGCGGAGGAAAGTCTCCAGGTGCTTGGTACCTCTGTCCCCCCTCAACTTCTGCGCTATGCCTTCACAGTAACGGGATTGTTCTCGCAACGTCACGCTCTGCCTGCCTGCAAGAACGCGGTAGTCCAGGAAGCGTCGTGTGGTACCGAGTTTTGAAGCTCACCTCTCCAGTGGGCTTTTTGTAACTCCGAGAAAAGCGAGCATCTTGTGATCTGTTGTGTTTGCTATGGATTTGGCGTTCCCTTGCTGTCTTTCGAAAATGAGCGAAATATAGCAATTTTACAAAAAATCTTGGTGCTGTTCAATCGTCTTGGCTATTCCATGCGCTTGTCGCTGTAGGAGTCCGCTTGGGGTTGTTTATCCGTAAATTCGGAGGTTGTTGGGATGTCGAGCCAGCCGAATTTCTCCAAGGAAAAGCCTTGGACCTTGAAGTGCGTCTCTAGCAGCAGGCTTTTGCTGTCATGATCCACTTTTACAACACTTTGACGGGATCAGGCCATGGGCTCAGCAGTGATAGTCATGACAGCGGCCTTTTGTGGCTGCTGCATCGGTGTACTCGCTATCCCGTCGCAACGAACAGGCAGACAAAGACGCTGCTTCTCGCCAAAAACCGCCATGGATACAGTGTCACGTGAAGCTGACGTTGCCGTTTCCCTTTTTCCCTTTTCACTGCCGCCCTTTCATCAGACATAGCGGACGACAATGCACATATGTCAAGGAAACGAGCTGCTTTCTGTACGCCGTCACAGAAATGAAGGAATGTTGAGATCTCTCTGGCGCTCAATGTTCCTGCGAGATACAGCACGCTTCTGACAACGGCGACGGGTGATGCTCAACTCATAATACCGCGGCGGTCATCAAGATGTGATGTGGCACACGCCATTTTGAGCGTGAAACTGAGGAGGTTATTATCATGTTAGGATGTTTTACATAATGTAGGTGAGAAATTGAGCAGAATATTGAGAACAATGAAGAAATGCGAAAGATGAATGGTCGGCTGCAGCGATGGCCGCACGGAATTCTGTCCGTGTGGACGCGACCGCTCACTGTTGCCTTTCGCTGTGTTTGTCGAGCAGGGCTTGTTGAGAGAAGGATTCGCCATGATCGACGACGGAGCACCCTCTGGCGTCAGGCTGTACTGGTTCCCATGCGTTGGCGTCAAATTCGCCACCTGATTGCTTGATCCCATCGCCTGTACCGGGCAGCAGGTGCTCAGGTTGTTGGCTTCAAGCTAGCGTCCTGTGTGTCGTGCTTTTGGATTGGTTCATTGGTGTGTGGTTCTTTTACCGCGCTTGGAGCTTCTATATCACCGCTTTCGCGTGGGAAGGGGTCTCGAGTGCTTTGCCATCGGCAGGTGTACACTGCGTTATTGCTTCCTTGTAATGATGGTTGTCGCTGGCGTCCCCTTCTTCGATTGCCTTGCATGAACTTGCATTGCAATGACGTGCCCTCGGCACACTGCCAACGCGGTCGATAGCAGAATGTGTTGGGCGCTTTGTTGGCTTGATGTCGAAATGTTACATCGCATTTGAGAGCCTTGGTGCCGCCATGGTCCCAGCAGGAGAAAAGGGCCTCGCGGCGCCTCGCAGGAAAATGCAGGGCGATGTCAACCCCAAAGCATTGATCGCATGAAACTGAATGCACAGTCTCAATGAAGGGAACTTCCCTTGCCCTAGGGAGCTTGGCACTCCGGGGTTCCTGGAAGACCAGAAATCGGAGCTAATCGCACGGTTCGTTTGTTTTCAAGTGTGTCATTTTTTACAAATGCGGTTCGTTGTGTGCTGCATGTGTCCCATGGCACCTGGTCTCCAACCACCACAGCAAAGCAGGTCCATGGCGTCGGATGTCATCCACTGGATGAGGCCGGTGTCTGACAAACAGGCTGCCGACATGCGTGCCTCGTCCGACATGGTCCAGCCCGCGGCGCCGCCCGCCCCCCCCCCCAGCTCTTCACCTCGAATTGTTCAGCAACCTTCGTCGCCTCCTGAGCTCCTAAGTCCTAACCCAAACTCTTCTAGAAAGGTCTCCCAGATACCCAAATGAGTGCGTTCCTGACGCTCCTCCAGTGTCCGCGGCGACCCTGTGCCGCTTGCCGTGCCCCTTACCGCGCCTCTCGAAGCGGTCTCTTCTCTCCTCATCTTCTGCCCGTCCCCACCGGGCTCGTGGCCGTCCCTCTGCAGGCTTGGCACCCAACCCGGGCAGCCTTGGAGCGCGCCCGCGAGCGGGGCGTGGGGTCCTCGCCGCGGGCAGGAGCATGTTCTTCTACATCAATTTCTCCAATGGCCGCGCCACCTGGTACTCCGCGCCGCTGGTGCTGTTTCTGCTGAATCCCTCCCTCCTCTGGCGACTGGCGGATGTGCCATTGGCTCTTCTCAGCGCGGTAGGTTGTTGGGAGGCAACTGTTCCCAGACACAGGGAGGGTGCAGTCGGGAAAGGGGCGGGGGAGTGGGGGGGACCCTCTTGAACACATGTGCCCCAGAACCGTGCTGAACAAAACACAGATGTTTGAGTCGAGCAAAAAGTGATTGGGCAATGGTGTGCAACACGGAGTGTGGCACGTGACAAAGGTCTGCAAAACGTTGTGAAGCACCACGTCTGACACGCTTGAGAGGCGTCCTTTGTGTCAGCTGTTCCTCATTGCTCTTGCCATGTTTCCGATCGACAGTCATTCTGGATGCCCACGATGCTATATGCCAGTGCAAACATGGCGAGATAAGAGAACTTTACTGCACTTGTGTGACCGACTCCTCCTCTTTGCAGTAGATCAGTTGCTTGTGAGTGTGGGTTGCCCAGGCAGCCAATGTGTGTGCACCTTTGCGACTTTTATGTAGTTCTGTCAGCCAGAAAAGGAGCAGGGCGCGGCACCAGTGAGTTATGATTGTCAAGCTGTTACTGTGCAATTCGGCACATTAAGGCCCATTAGCCAACGATGCCCATTGGATTCGATTGGTTCTGAACGTGTGGTTGTGGATGTGCAACAGTGCTTTGGAACCTTACCATGGCTTGGAGGGAGAGGTGTCCAACAGCAGCATCCGTTCGACGTTGTTGTCAATGTGCTGCTCTGTTTGCTGCTTGCATGGGTAGTATACAAACTCATGAAAATGGTGAGCATAGCTTGTTGGAACTGTTGCTAACTCACTTGCTGGCAGGAAAGCCATGCCACACGGTGTCAACACGATGGGCAGAACAGTGATTCAGAAGCATGGAGTCGCAGAAGGATGACTACATGCAAACTAGCTAATGTCAAGATCCCCAACTGCCAGCTTCTTGTCATGATTGTGGGCATGTGGAGTCCATTAGCAGCAATATTGTTGCCAGTCTAGTTGTGTACGAGGGCAGCAATGTGGTTTGAGATTTGCAGACACATCCACAGATTCCGCTCCTGAATCATGGTGTCAGTGGGCTCCATGAAACCCACCTGAGTTGAGAATTATGTGTGTATGACAATGTGTAGCTTTTGCCCTGCATGACAATGCAAGTGGGATCCTTGCCTGCTTTGCAGTCTGATGTGATGTTGGTGTATGGGATGTACTCCACAACATGGCTAAGGGGAGCACTCAGTCTCTGTTGCAATCTGCCTCTATTGCATTCATAGCTGTAAGGATACTCCCCTTCAAGGTGCAAAAGATGAGGTGGGATTCTCTTGAGTGTAGTCAGGAGGGCACATGTACTGCAGATAACACAGTCTCAGGCAAACTTGCAAGAGTGGTACCCAGTGCATTCTCAGTGTGTTACTGACAACAGCTGATGTGCCTTCTGCCTTCCAAGTGCCAAGACCGAGGTGTATGGCGAACCCTGCATGGATTGTTGCTCACTGGTCTGCGTGGGGAAACTGGCCGACGCACTCAGCAGCCGCAGAATGGCAGGGGGGCCTTTGAGCGGGTTGCAGAGTGCATCCAAAAGCTTCCAGTGGCCTCGTTCAAGACACCAGAGGAACTGAAGAAATTGCCTGTCCGAGAACTGAAGGTACCACTTCCTGGGCTCCTGGAGTATTGCGACCTGCGATCTTGTGGCTTGTTTGACTCTGTGTTGCGAATTCAGCTCTGATGGCTTGTTTTGTTGCATGGCAGTGCTCTGCCCATCACTGTAGCTGTCTGATAGACTCCATGACATGGTGCATGGATTCCATGATGTAATAACTTCAACCCTTCTGCGGTGTTGCTCTGGATTCGTTTGACATACCATTGTGTATAGTATTTGTGCACCCCACATCTTGTTGAGCGGGCGCGGGTTGGGCACAGCAGCCTGTTGACCAAGTTTCTCATGGAGCTGACCAGTCCACTGGCACCTATTGTGCGCACTTCATGGGGACATAGGCAGCAGTCGGTGGGTGGTGGGGGGTGGGGGGTGGGGGGGAAGGAGAAGTTTTTCTTTTGAATTCCAAATGCATCGCATTATGACACGAACAGAGGAGCTCCCCCACGAATCGTGAAGCACAACAGGATCATTTTCCAGCAAGAACCGATGTAGGGTCCCAAACAATAAGAGAGGAAGAAAAAGGGGGAGAAGGTTTGTGAGAGGGCATTGGGGAGGGCGGGCTGCGGTGCATTTCCATGGTGATGCACCACCGAAGGGGGCAATCCACAGTGGGTGTGTGCCAATCCAAACTAGCCACGTTTCCTGCATGACATAATGGCTATCTGTGGGAAGAGCAGCTGCAGCAGCAGCCCCGAATGAACTGCCAATGCATATCCAGTGGAGGCGGTCTCTAGAATCACAGATCTGGAAGTCAGTTGCTGTGTGTTTGCAATAGGAAACAGTGCCCATCTGGTTGTGGCACAACATGCAAGGGCCAACAGTTGCAGAATTTTTAGTTTTACTTGCGACACGGCTTTCTTTGCTCATGGGCATTGCTTTGCAAACACAGCATGCAAGCAACGCAAATCATGCTTCATGACAACGTGGGTCCAGTTCAAGCGCTGTCACAGGCGGTTGCAAACCCAGCCACGTTCGGAGCTAGCCCGGCGTTATATTGTAGCAGCTCCACACTTTTTTTGAAACCATTACTTGTTGTAATACTGCTACCCAGAGAAAGGCCGAGCATTGCTGTGCGATGTGCAAAGGCTCAACATACTACAGTTGGGTTGTAAACGTTTTGCGAATGTAGTCAAAATCGTTCTACCATGCTGTATTCCTGCGATGCGGGTCCCTGGCACCTTCCAGGCAGTGGCACATACATCAAAGACAGATACACTTTTGCCGCTGCCCTTGCACCTATTCGGCCATCGAGGATGGTGTTCGCCCTCACATGTGATTTTTCTTTTTATTTTATTTTTTGATTTTGACTGAATCCATCAATGGTCAAGCTGCCTTGTGTGCCGACAGATGACCTGACGTTGGCAATTGGTGTATCTTGAGCAGAGGGCATTAGATTTCGATGGTGGCCTCTGAGTTATGGTGCCTGAAGTGGCTGCTGCTCCCCAAACCAAAGTCATTTTAAAAAGGCTCACAAACAGTTGTTTGTGAGCCATCAGAGGCAGTGCAGCACTGCGTACTGAAATTCTTGTTTTGCAAGCACGGAATGTAGTTGTTATTCAACGTTCAGTTCAACATATATCCTTCTCACGGTCGTCGTGAATTTGTGTATTGACTTGCTATTGGGGTCAAATGCAAGAGAGGATTCTGTGCGAACAGCTGGCTTCTTCACACCATCTGTGCAGCTGACTGTGTCGGTCGTCCAAGCATCTATCTTTTGCTGAGGAAGTTTTTAATACTTGGTGGAAATTGAGTCGTTGAAATCCAGCCCAAGCAACACAGTAGGCCTTACCTTTGCCACGTTGTGCTGTGGCTATGGTTTACTGTTTATGGTTTATTGTTTGTGCCAGGCATGTGTTTTGCGATTTAACAGATGTAGGGGAAAGGTTCCCTTTTGAGCCACTGGCATTTGTCTTGTGCTTGCAGGAACGACTGGCCAGTTTGAAGGTGGATGCAAGCACGATGAAGGAAAAAAGCGAGCTTGTTGACGCCCTCGTGTCGGGCTGTGGCTCGACTGACGCCTCTTGCAGCATTTGTTGTGAGGACTACCAGAGTGGAGATGCACTGCGGGTGCTTCCCTGTGGCCACAAATTCCACTTGCAGTGCATCGACCGCTGGTTTCTGTCGTCGACGGATTACAGCCGGCCAGTTGCGTGCCCCTATTGCAACACTCCCTTGTTGAAAGGCACATAGCGCAGGGACACATTGGGTGTATAGCAATTCACATTGACAAGATGTTTGGAGACGTTTGAATTGTGAGCCTGAATTTGAAAACACATTGACTGGCAATATTGTGGATGGCCTGTTTCAATGGAACACATAAAGCAGCCACAAAACATGTGTTACAACACGGTATCTAACACTATGCATCTAAGAACATCTTGGTCAGCTGTGAATGCTTGCAAGGAACATTGACCAGTCATGAATCAGGCTTGTTCGTGGCTGATTCTACCAGGGGTGCTCGTCATACAGACTGTTCGGTTGTGGCCATCAAGGTTGTTGCTGTTGTTAAGGCCCTGGTGTCCTTGACAGAGGAAAGCAATGTGCCAGGCGAGCTATGTCCAACTTGGTATAAGATATTCAAATGCAACGTTCATATGGGCACGTGCCCGTAATTTGGACACAGGCACTGCTACCTGGACTAGACTGGCGCGTTTCCCACACATTGAGCCTTACAATGTTCCCTCACATCCTTAGGTAAAGGACAAATGAATAGACAGGGTCCCTGTCCACATCGCCATGCGAATCTCTAGCAGGGTTTTTACCCCGTTGAGCAATGCAGCTAACGAAAGAGAGGCAGTGGTGCTCAAGTTCGCAGGCATCCTGATCTTGTGCTCTGGCGGAGCTTTGAAAGGATAGATACTGTCATAGTTTGTAATATTAGATTGTTCTATTGAGAACTGGATGATCTGTATGGATATTAGATCGTGTCACCCAGATATGGCATGGATTCTGTTCTCAGATATGGACACCAATAGTGTCACACCATATGTAGATATTATACATTTGCATTGAGATCAGTTGAAGATCAGCATTTGATGTCCATGCAACTGTAGTCAGACAGGCAGCCCCTCTCTGCAGAGCCTCACAATCCCAGCTCCATCGCACAGGGCTTGGTCTGGGCCTGGCCGACTGAAGTGGAAGCCATAGTAGTGTTTAGTGAACCCAAGCTGTACATGCATGGCATTGTCTCATTTGTCAAGCAAAATTTGCGTCAGTCATCCCCAAGTTGCTTTCACCACCCACAGTATCTGTCTACAACTAATGCTGCAATGTATGCATTGCAACCAACACTACCTGCTTTTGACCTGCATGATATGGTGTTGTTGACAGCCCCGAACGCCGTGGCCCTACCGTTTAGCCTACTTCTACACCCAACTCCCCTCCACCTCACCCCATCCCACCGCACACACCCACCCTTGTCCTCTCAGAAGCTTGCCTGGCCAAGGACAGGCCCACGGATCCGCCGTGCCAATTGTAAATCCTTTTGCACTGCAAAACAGTGGCAGCTCAGTTGAACTTTCAGCCGTTCTGGTGGTATTGACCAGGAGGGAAGGGTGTGCGGGCAATGAGCAAGACATTCCGGGCAGCTAGAAGTGCAAGGATTCTCAAGTAGATCAGCCAACAAAATACACAGTGGGCATCTTTGTCACCAGCGATTTTGGAGACCCTTCTCCATATTGTAAGTACGATCAGAAGTGCAACAAATAACAACATTTATCTTAAATAAGGGACAGAGATGTGCATATTGAAGGCACTATGACTGAGTGCTGGGTTTGTACATTGCAACACATAGCTGTTGTGTGGTGTGCGATGCAAGACACAGCGACCCACCAAAAAGCACAAAACTGTTGCAATTCATGACTGGACGTCAAGACTAGCCCAACATCCACTTGCTGAGTCACCCACATATCACCCATAACTATTCCCTTGTGTATAGCCCACGATTTATACTTGCAACAAGGTGTGCATTCACACAGTGCGGGTTGGTGCCTCAGTTATTTGCGAGATAGGAGGGCATGAGCTGGGCTCAACGATAGATGTATGCCGCCCATACAATATGCAACGTTCACCGCTGGAGAGCCTCAGCACTCGTGCATCTATACATCTGCACAAATGGAAGGCAACAATGTTCGCGAGGCAATTCAGTACATTGCTAAAGCCAGCATTGCCACTGTCGTTAACATCTCATTACGGAGTCGTGAGATCTTTGCAAGGGGACTGTGGAGATAGGTGGGCTTTTGTGGCGCACATTCACTTGGTGCGTGACCGCTACTAGAGCTGACAGTGCACTGGACATCGAAGTTGGAATACAACTGGTATGATACGCCTTTCAAGGAACACATTGAGAACATAGTCACCCAACTAACAATCTCCTCCAATATCTTGGGGGCACGTAAGCCACCTACTTAAAGTCACTCGACCAGCATGTATGGCACACATCTGTCCATCGGCCAATAATTTGATAATGAAGTCTTCTGCTGCCTGCAAGGGAAGCACTGCACAAATTCAGCAAATAAAACGCTGAATGAAAGCACTTGCGAATGAGCAAATTACATGTTTATGCAGTATATGCGAAGACTGCTGGTGGGTGGCCTGTGTGTTCAGCATTGGCCTGAAGACGGCGGCAGTTGGGGCTATGGGACGGAGCAACTGATTTTGCCCAATCGAGAAAGAGTGGAGATTTTTGCTTGTTGGCAAATGTAAATACTGTATACTGAAAAATGTTCACGCAGAAATATTATAGCGCACTTGAAGGTGCACGAAAATTTTCCTCCGCGAACATTTCTTCTCCCCGAAAATTTCCGCAGCCCAAGCATTTATATCGCACAAAATCGCAATAGTGGTTGCAGCCATGGTGTCACATCGTGGCGACCGCGCTGCCGCGGCTCGGCGCCGCTGTGTGTCCTTCCGCTCTGTGGATTGACTTTGGTTGCGCGAGCCGCGAGTTGGCGGTCCCTGGAAAGCAGCAGCGGAGAGTCCCGGTGCTGAAAACGCCGTTGACCACAGATGTTTCCATAAGTTGAGGCGGAAACCAGGGGCACGCGGTGCTGTAGGGTACTTGGCGGGAAGTCCAGGGCTCTCTCACAGCGTTTGCTACTCTGTGAAGAACGCCGCACTTCGCAGTCACTGCTGTGCGGGGCAACAAGCGACAGGGCGGCCAGCGCCAAAGGTGTTTCAGGAGGCCAGTCGAAAAGTCAACGGGCGAAAAAAAACATGCAGCCAAAAGGTTCGCGCAGTGGCTCGAGCGTGACATGCATGACAATATTTAAGCCGCGAACGTTGTTGTGTATACAGTAGTAAGCATTTTCACAGGCATCCATTGGTCCTGCAGGGTACTTGCTGAAGCCACGGTCTCTGTAGTAGTTACTGCACCACTGTACATCTGGCTTTGCCTGATGGTTGTGACAGCACTGACTTTTCCTGATGACTAATGCAGTCATTGAGGATTTCTGTCACAGGATGAGTCACATAGCTGCCCAGCGACTGGTCGAAACATTCGTTATGCTGCCACCCTCAATTGGGTACAGTGGCACAGGCACTACTGCTCATGCCCCCAAGGCAATAACTTTTTGCCATTTGCTCTAGCAGTGAAATGTCGAAGTCCATGCTCAGCATAAATTAGTTGGAAGAGTGCAGGATAAGAACACAAATGGACAGAACAAAACAGTGGTTTGTGGACAGACATACTGTATCGCGTACTGCAGCCCCACCTCTTGGATGGCAAGGCAAGCTTCAGCAGTCCACCTGAATCTGCCCAATCGTGAAGTCAGGTTGTCGGAAATTTCTTTCACCTGGCAACACCACAGTCCCTCCCTGAGGTTGACAAGGACATGCACCTCGACTGAATTTGTGCACTGGGCAGATTGCTGCCCAATCGTATCAATCAAACAGGGACAACAATGCAATAACACCAACAGCGTTTGTACCAACCAAACAACAACCCAATGCAGGAAGCAACAAGGATCCTGCTCTTGGGAGCAAGAGAAGCAGGCTCAACTAAGGTAGCCTCTCAATGTGTACATCGCAAAATCCCCAGCGTTGCTGAGCCACAAGAACCCTAAGGCATTAGCTTTTTTGGACCAGCAGGGTTGAACACAAAAAACAAGCCTTGCTGTGCAGGTGCCTCAAAATGTTTCGAACGCGACCATTGGATGCCATGCACAGCATCAGTTGGCAGGCACGGGAGAGACAAGGCAACAGGTGGAGGGCACATACCAGCCGAATGAACGGGGCTTTCTGAATGAGGAATCCAACAGACTTCTGGTACCGCCTGATCTCCTGCAAGGCTCTCATGCCGGGCCTGAATCGTCTCTTTCCTGAACAAACAGTGGCGGCGTTGAAGGCAGGCTCCAATACCACCAATCAGCGGCCCCGGGACCGCTTCAATGAAATGATTCAGCGCAATCCAACCAGACAACCCAATCAATGGGCCGCTCCTCCATCTGGCCGTCTGTCCGGCTTCCGGCACGCGTCGACGCGCCGGCACTAGCGTCGAGGAAGGAGATCAGCCGTTTCACCGCACTGCTTCAATGGAATTGCACCTGACACCCTCAATGCCCAAGATTGACCGCTCGCGGCGCGCGTCAACAACCCCCGTGGCTGCTTCCCGACCCCCGGACTTCTGGCGCCATGAGGCCAGCGCCCCCGGCACCAGACCATCCCCGATTCTTTTCAAATCCACTGGGCGGAACCTCCGAGCCCAACCTCCTCCCCCAGGAGCTTGAACCCAAGAAAGACTCCGGCGATCAGCAACGCCATCGCGATTGTCAAATGCCCCATGAGGATCACAACGGCGCGGTCGTCTGGCCCAATGCGCGACCCCCCATCGACAGGGACCACTCACGGGGGCCCGTCTGCCCTGATGGCGGCGACGTCATCCTGCCCCTCGACCGGCCGGGGGATGCCGTCGGCGTCCTCGATCGCGGCGGCCTCGCTCCCCCGGGGCTCTTTCTGGCCATCTGTCTCGTCCGGCGAGCCTGTAAGCCAGTCATCGCCCAACACTGCATCAGCTCCGCGATCGGTCAGCTCTAAATTCAATCTCGCGCCCTGCGAGCGCGCCGCGATGGCGCGAAGGAACCGCTCCTTGCGCAGGGCGGACGGCCGCTGGGACAGGATGCGACTCACCGACGGGGCCTTTGTGCGGGCCATGGCGGGAGCCGGGATGTCCCGGCGGGGGGCGCTCTGTGGCTGGGCGGCCCACGGAGACGGGGGCGCGGCCTGGGGTGGGCTGCTCCGGCCCTGGGCGCGTTTGGCGCGGAGGGGGGGAGAAACGGCGGGGGGCGGGGTTGCTGGCAGATGGAGTCACGCAGGGCTCGGACCTGGCCCCTCATGTTTTTTTTTTTGTTTTTTTTGAATCAAGAATAACTATTTAAAACATGTCGTTATGATGCAGGAGCTGACGTTTCATGAGAATATGTTCGTCCGTCTGTCTCTTTCTTGAAGATCCCTTCTTCTTCCGTTGACAAGGCCAACGCGGGTCAGTGGGTCAGTGGTTTAGGGTTTGGGGTGTGGAAACAAGAAGGGATCCTCACGGAAAAGACAGAGCCGCTAATATCATGCCGCGTTTCATCACCACGGCAGCAGCATCATAAACAAGACTAGAAGAAAAGCAAGGTAATGTACCAGAATCGGCACAGCCCCGGCCCTAGATATTCAAGAAGAGCCACACGAAGCCCGGGGAAATACCTCTGTCAGATGGTCAGGATGGTCACAGCCAGGAGCTGGCAAAACAACTGTATTAGAGGACCGGTCTTTCAACAAACAAAATTTATTTGTGTTCAAGACCTCACTGACAGCAATCAGCGGCCCCACATGGAATGCAAACAGCTTGACATGGTCAAGTTGACCCAATGTCTGGTGGAAGCAGTATTGTTTGCACATTAACGCTGAAAATCGTGCACCAGCAACTTACCGCTGGGCCGAACAAGAACACAACTGGAGTCTTAACCTTAGGCATGATTGCTTTTGGTCCACCAGTACCATCATCATCATGATTTTTTTACAGAGCAAGGCAAGGAGGTAGCCGTCAGCTTCCTATTTTGCCTGAGCAAAGCAGAGTCGGTGATTGGTTCATTGGAATCTATTGAGAAATACCAACTAAATCACCAGTATCGCAGGGTGGCCCAGGCGGTGGGGAGAGTGAGGGAAAGCAGGCCCCAAGGAATAGATGGTAAAGAGGAGCATACACGCCGACAAGGTGCAAGAGACAGGTGAGGTGCAGCCGTCTACCGAGGCATGAAGAAACATCAAGCTGCCGTCCGAGTACGTCGAAGCGTTCAGCGTGAAGGATGTGTAGAATGCAGCACACGAGACAATCAATCCTCGAGCAGCACTGCTGTGGAAACACATCTGTCACAAAGTTTCGCCAACACCCAAATTCACTATCGGCAATATCTTCAGCTCAGTTTCAGATTGTGCGCCCATGGCTGTTGCAACTCCAGCATATGGCCACCATAAGGGTTACTCCATCTATAAAAGATGATTACATCTCCAACAGACCAATAAATTCGCCAAGTACTTCACACGGTTCCCTTACGGTTATGTTTTAAAAGGAACAAGCAATTCCACAAGGCGCCATGACACTTCCTCAAGAAGTTTGTCATTCCGGCAGGTGTCTACCAGCAAGCCAATGAACAATCCTAGCACAACAAGGAGAACTTTGCCAAAGTTTGGACAATCCCCTCCCATACTGAGCGCCACGTTTCCAGTACCAGCACTCTTGTGCTTTCCAAGTCAGCACCACGGCCCTCTCTTGGATATTCCGAGACTCGAGTCACAACGCAGCAGACGTTGCACCGATGCATTACAGAGTACCCCTCATCTTAATAGACATCAGCTGTGGTATCCAAACGGACAGCATGGCATCCCAGCCAAGGGCAGTCACCTGCTCCCATTGGCAATGGCAAGGCCCAAGCTGGCTGCCTGTGCACTCGTTGCGTATTGCTTGTCATATATACTGGACAAATCCCCATTAAAAATTGCTGCCCTTAGAGAACAATCCCGTCACCCCTCGCTCCCTCTCAGTTCTCGAGTGTCTCCATTTCTCACAGGTCGTCCCCACATCTCTGAAATTCTAATCTCACCGGAACGTGCCCCGGATGGGAGCCAATCGCCGCCAACACCGAATCGAAAGTCTGTGCAAAGACACGACATTCCCATCAATCACAACCAAAATTCCAATGCTAAATTGCCAGAGCCGCAATGATCAAAAGTAAAACAGAAGGATGTGCATTGTCTGTGACCTGTGTTGGATCCATGATGTACCCAATTGTGCATTTCTATGCAAGACTCTATGACTTTTTGTCTGCCATTTTTCAGTCGTAGCCAAATGGGCTTACACAGCACAATCTAGTGCCCAAATTGGCAACAAGAAGTGCCTTTACATGGTAACCGTCATTCTGCAATGCGTTTACTTCCTGAGACATTTGGTTGGAGACTTTCAGCGAGAGGTATGAGTTCCTCCAACTCGGAACTTGCATCGCTCACTGTGCATATGCACGACTGCCAGAGGGCAGTTCTGCAAATTGAGTAATCAGCTGATGTTCAAAAAGCAAGAGCACCATACGAAATCGACTTGATCTTACATCAGGCATGAATCTCAAACTCAAAACAGCAGAAACAGCAGCTCAAATGCACACCAACGATCGCCAGAATGTTAAACCACGTTTTCTTCCATGCATGCCTACAGGATTCATGATATGGCACTTCAACAGCTGCGACTGACAAAACTCAAATCACCTCGTTCATGGTGTTCATCTGTACAACTTTCTCTCCTCCTCGGACCTCTGTTGCACCGTAAGTCTGACTTGTTGTGTAAATCACCCCACTGGTGGAGATGAGCTGGTCACCCTGCAATGCATGTGGCAGATAGTCGAGAAGGCGTGCACACAATCCTTACCTCCAACTGACTTTTCCATATGCAACGCAGAACCAGAAATAATACAACATCTGCTGCTACCTATTCTGTTTTGGATAGCAAGCATCATACCGCGTGTGCTACTGGTGTTCTACAAACAATTTGCCAGTGAGCAGTGTATGTCATTCACTTAAATCCCAATTCATTTCCTTTGTAACCTGACAGTGCCAAGTAATTTCACCAAGTTTGAGATGTCGGGCACCAACTGCAAGCACATGCTTGTGTTTGCTCCCACATTATTTGTTGATCTTCAAGCCCTTTTTAGCCCCAAGTGCCGCAATGTATGGCAATCCAATGCCACGTGTTGTTCCTGAGGCATTCAGGTACACAAGCTTGTTGGGACTAGAGCACCCAAACGTCCCACTCATTAGAAGATTCTCACTAAAGCTGTTGTCTTTTCTAGCTGAAAACAACCCTTATTGCCATGCAGCTACTTGCCAAAAGATCCAGGAGCAAACAAAAGAGAGATTAATCATACCTTCTAGATATAAAACAGAATGTGCTTGAAGAGGACCAACACTGGCCCACTTGCCACGCACTCACATCAACAGACAAGTGCAAAGGTTTGCTGGACAAGTTCTCATCCCGTAGGTATTTTTTTCCACCTGAGGAATTTTTTGCCTCCAACATATCCAGCTACGCTGACACCGAACGCTTTTGCATGACCTTCTACTGGATTCTGGAGCGCCCTGGAGTCCTGATGGCATGGATCACTGCCAACGCTCCGAATATGTTTGGATGGCGCATTTTATGACCGGCCACTGCTACCTTGGTAGTTTCAAACTACCGCAAGATGATGACGAGCTAGTCGATTGTGTATTATGCTTGGAACACTATCACTGAGAACAGTTTCTTATGGATTGCAATGGCGTAACCGATTTGCGTGCAAAGTGGCTGAACTCGAAAGGGATTGATGCGTCAAATCTGCGCAATCTAGTATGGAAACATTGCGGCCGATTGGGAGTGTTTCTGAGCTCAGTGAGTGACCGCATTTGGGCAACGGAGGTGAACGAGCAATAGTCTATTACTCTGACTTCTGGCTTGCGGAATTTCTCTTGTTTTTGTGGGGGAGTTTCAAGGGGTTCGGTGGCAGCTGTGGCCGCCATAAAGGCGTGTTTTTCAGTTACACAGTTGGGCCCGGACGTGCCCCTCGCACACTGAATGTTACACTACATTGATCGATGCCATGACGTCCTGTCGATGCATCCATGTAAGGAAGAAACAAACAAACATATCCAGCTAAAGCAGTTGATAAAGATGTTTCGCAGCAGTCATTATACCGAAACTACAATATCGAAAACTGATTGATTCTGCAGTGCAACAGTGTGGATACAACTGGACCTGCACTGCAACAATCCCTGCAGGTCAAATGATCCCCACAAGTGACAGAGGGACATAGCCAGCCCAAGAACGCATGCCCACCACTGAGATCTGTCCACTTCTTGCTGCATTTCCACCCTCAACAACCTCTGCCTGCAAGCGGATTGTCATCCAAACGTGAACGCCAATCAATTGTGTTCAGCAACAATAGCAGCAAAATCGACAATCTATATGTATCAATGCACAGAAGTGGCGAACAGCACCCTTGTCTGCATGGAAGTGTTCATTGCATCCAACAAAAGCAGCTACTGCTGCAGTTTCTTGATAACTTGAAACGACAGCTGGACGAGTTGAAGTACAATTAATTAATTCTCCTAAGGTCCAAGACTGAAAAGTCCCTGACGCAGGTGCCTGAAAATGTGCTGCAGAAGGCAGCAATGGGCACCATATTATGACAGTAACTCCTCATGCACGCCTATCTTTGCCTAGTTTGCCCACTCGGCAACGTTTCTCCACTGATGGCCAGAACAATGCGGCAAGGAGGTGTATATTGTCAATTTCGAATATGCATTTGACAAATGCGTCTCGTCCTCCATCCCGCATCACCTCAAGGGCGACATGGCACGTTGTGACCCCTGCTGAACCCAAGATTTGTGGTGTATCTGCACTGGGAGGGCAACTGAGGTTGGTATTATCCACCCACCACATAAATTCCGCTGGAGTTCGCCTCTTCAAGAACAATACCCAGCGGTTTGCTCAACAACACTTGATATCTTGCGCAACCCAGCGGTATCTGTCCACACAACCACCAAGCATTGTTGTCAACGCCGGCTCCTCTATTGACCAAAAAACAGACAGGGCGGTCTTGCGCACACGTCTTCTTGCACTGCAAATCCTTAACCGATCATTTACACCGTCTAGCAGCGCCGAAAGTAAAGGATGCCCAGAGATACTGGACAGCACCGGCACTTACACCAGTAGCGCCAACGCAGTTGCCCGTGGTGATCGACATGCGGCCAAGAGTTGCAGTCGTTGCAGGCGACGCGTGCTCAGCCTAGTCCTGAATTCCCAATGCCCAACGCACAACTCTTTCTACAGCCCTGGAGGCCTGTGCGAAATGGGCAAGCAGGCGTGTGACACTGAAGACAACGTCCTTGCTCACAGCAACTGCTGATTCGGTGCACGCAAGCTGTTACCATCCAAACACCAGCCCCGACGTGATTGCACAAGTCTTGTGCATCCAGCCCTGCGTACTTCGGACATGCCACGATACCACATTTTCAGCAGGGAACAGCGAAGATGACGCAGTGCCGCACCTCGTCTGCCTGGCTGACCTCGGCGGACGACGCCCTGATCGGTCGCAATCTCGCCGATTGCCGCTCCACGCCGCGGGGTATGTGGGGTGCGGATGAGCGCGCCCGGACAGTGGGCCGCTCCGCGACCACCTTTGCTTCTGTGGGGCGCAGGTGCCCCAGCGGCAGGCTCGCGCAGTATCGACCGGCCATTGCCTCCGCTCAGGGCACGAGCGAAACGGGTGGTGCTCGCCGAAAGTAGCCGAGGAACGCCGTGTGCGGCCGCGGGAAAGGCCGTCGTCACATCTACGGTCCCCGTACGATACCGTATCTTGTTAAACCCTTCCGCATGGTAACTCAGCGCTTGGCCCCTTTTGCGGAGCAACATTAAAAAAAAATAAAGCTCCGAAAAAACGCGGAGCAAAAAGCGAAACAATACAGTTCTTTCAGGCACAAGGGCTAAAGAAACTATGGTATACAAGTGAGGCGCACAAGCTCCCGATCCTTTGCTTGCAAACAGTGTACGAACAGCCGTTTTCTTGTGTTTTTTTTCCTATTCCAAAATGCTGGATCACATTTCAATGTCCAGGTGCCTCCACCGTGCTGTCACAAGATATGTGGGCCTTGTGCCACCCAGCAAGAGAGTGCAAGGCGATGTAAAGGCCCCAAATTGTTCGAATCCAAAGGAGTGCTTGGTCTCAAGAAAGAGAAAAGCCACCAACCGGTTGCCACGTTGTTTCTGATTCACCATGTGACGTTGTCATGGGAGTACTTTGAATATTCAACCCTTCCGCATCAGAAAATTTCACCGTTATGCTTTTTGCTCCGCATTTTGTTTTTCACAGCGTTATTTCTATTTTTTTTACGTTGCTCCGCACAAAAAGGCCAAGTTTTGCGTAACTATTTATATTATTTTCTCCGCAAAGAAAGACCAAGCATTACGTTACTATGCGGAAGGGTTTAATATTTTGCAGTAACTCGAGTCTGGAAATGTTGGTTGTTGAGCACACCAAGAGGTGGATTTGTTGTGTAGGCAGCAGTGGGAAAGCATCCATGCGCTGGCGGACCCACGCCGCCCCCACGCCCCTGGCCGTGGGAATCCCCACGCGCATCCACGCCGGCCGCACCACACGCTCCCACGCAGCCCCCCAAGGCGGTCCCATACGTGGGGCGCGCCACCGCCTCCCACGGCGTGGGATCCCGTTGAGCCCACGTTACTGCATTCCAACGACCCTCCCACGATGTCCCACAATGGGCACCTGGGCGTGGGAAGGGCGTGGGAAGCCGTGGAGAAGCCTTGGGGAGGCCGTGGGCCCACGTGGGCCAACACCCCGTCCCACGGTCTCCCACGGTCTTCCCACGGTGTCGGGAACGATTCTGTGACCCAAGTACACCAGTGGTTTACCAACACAGCTTACTGGCAACTTGCAATAGGAGCCTAGAGCGGAGGAAACGGAGCGACCTGTATCGTTTTGGGTTAACTTGCTGCAGATTTTCCTCAGGCAGGTCACCTTCCAGTGGCGAATTTGCAGCCATGCACACAGCAAATTCATACGATGGAAAATCACTTGGTGAGAGGAGCACGATGCTTGCTGTTGAATGTGACTTTAGACACATACTGATGACTGCCGGCACCATGCCCTTTCTGCTGATTGGTACACCCTGTCAGAAGGCCAATGTCCGCAGAATTTCCAGCAGCATTGCCACAACGTGGTCCTCTCAATGACAGTTTGGCCCTTTGCCATGTGTCTATGCACCAAGGCTGAACAGCAAGGCAATCGTAGCCTGGGTGGCTGTTACCATATACAGCACACAGTCCTGCAGCTGATCTATGCCTTTGCCCAAAAGCCAAGGCTGACCATACCTATCTTTGCTGCCAGCAACCTGCCCCTGTCTCAACGAATGCATTGTTTGTCGCACAGGCAGGTGTGTTGCAGAGGTGCTGCCCATCAAATCTGGTGCTCAGGCATGCCAAGGGCGCCACCACCACAGACGTCCCAAGACATCTAACTCCTCAGAACAGGCACGATCCGGCGGGGGTGGCCATACCCTCAGAGCTGCCATGAATCGAACACTCATGGCTCAACTCTGCTCTGCAAATCTGCCAACAGGTTCAATTCATCGTTGGTATTAATAGAACAGGAAGTTTGCTCTCAAGTCAGGAGGTTTGCTCTCAAGTCCTGATTAAACATTCACACCACACCACAGGCCTGCTGATTGATCGTTCAGTCCCTGTTCCTGACAAAGGTTATCAGCAATCGTTCAAACCATGTGGTGTGTTGAGACAGCCCAACCGCTGGACTTTACCAAATTCCCCTCAGCTCCCCCACTCATTATAACGCACATTCACAAACAAAGCATTTCTTACCTTCCAAGTACACACTTTGGAATGCTGTGTTTGGTTTCAACTCTCCTTGCATGATTGAAAATGCCATTTTGTGAAGATTAGCAATTGCTGGCAATTAGTCCACTCAGTTTGTCAATCCTCTCTGTGCAATTTCAGCACAACCCCACTTAACCCTGATGGCCAGCAGGTGAGCAGCTTCCCCCCTTCCTGTGCTTCATCAAGACCCAGAAACAACAAAAATAGATTTTCCTCGCCTAAACTGGGTGTATTGAGGCCAGTCGATGTCACTGCCCCACATCCACGACGGCTTTGCTTCGTCCTGGTTTGTTCCTCCTTTCTGTTTGTTCCAATCACCCTTCCCCTCACTCCACTCCAGATCAGCTCCGCCGACTATCACTCAAGGAAGTGGGAGACTACCTGGCCGCAACCTCGCCCATTCCAACAACACCTCAACCGCTCGACTCCCCCACATGTGTTCCGGTCCGCCGGGTGAGACTTGGGCAACCACCCGTCTCCCAGGGGCCTGGCTCACTCCTCCTTCTCGTTGAACACCTCCTTGGTCGATTTCCTCATCAGGAACAGCTGGATCGCCTTCTCCACCATCTTGCTGAACCAGTACAGGTTGAGGCCGTTGAGACCCACGCAGACCGCCCTCAGGCCCCACAGCGTCAGGTGGGTGCCACTCTTGGCCGGGTCCGCAAGGTACCGCGAGCTGAGCGCGAAGAATTTGAACGACACGTAGCTGCCCCACACGATGCGGCAGCCGAAGAAGGCGGCCATCATCGCCAGGCCGTTCACGACGTACAGGGTCGTATTCGACCGGCCCATCTTGAACAGCAGCCAGCGCACGTGCACGAAGCCCGTGGACAGCTCCCACAGCAGGTAGGCGCAGCCGTAGAAGTGGAACGCCCCCGTGAGCACTGTGAAGGTGAAGAAGCTGGCACACAGCGCGCCATGCATCAGGAACTGGAAGCCCTCCTCCCGCAGGCGCGCCAGGCAGGCCCCGGCATCGAAGATGAAGAAGCCGGTCGCGACGCCCAGCACGGCGTCCGACGCGCGGTTCACCGCCCCCACCTCGTCCGCCCAGATCCGCGGGTCGCTCAGCGCCACCAGCGCCAGGGGGATCACGATGGCATTGTGCAGGCACGTCGCCAGCCGGAGGGCGAGCCCCTGCACCGTGCGGTCCATGCTCTTTGCGTCCACGGGCCTGCCCAGCTGCCGCTGGAACCAGCGGGCCACGGGGCCCTTCACGGGGCTGGACTGGGCCGCCAGGAAGGTCGCCGTGAAAAGCACGAAGGACAAGCCGGCGATCTGCACGGACTCCTTGCGCACGAGGGGCAACATGGGCGGTGCTGCGGGCGGCCAATCAGCGCCCGCGGACTCCATGCCGTCGATCGGCGCGGGCGGGTATCGGCGATGGGGCGGCTTCGAGGCCGGGCGGCGGGCCGAGGGTAGGGGGACCGGCCGGCCGTGCGCGCCGGTGGGTGGTGGCGCGCGGGCGCGGCGGCCGGTGCCGCGGGGGCTGAGGCGGTGGGGTGGCTCCGGGCGGCCGCAAACTGGCAGCGCACGGTGCGCAGAAAGTTCGAGGAGTATGGTGCGGCTGGGGGCTGAGCAGCATTCACACAATACGGGGGGCCGTGAGTGTTGGATTGGTGGATGTGTGGACTTCATTTGTGAGATTTCTTGATGATGACGATGCTGATGCCTCGAGAGGACGTGTCTCCATGTATTACCATCGACAAACGCTTCTTGGTTGTAGGAATTGATGGATTCCAGGACCTTTCTATGTTATACAGTAGATTTCAATGAACTGATCATGGACATTGCTTGGCTTGGGCCAAATAAAGCGCAGGCGGCCACCTCCTATCGTGGTGTGCAGCCGTGCATAGACAGCAATAAAAGGTTACAATCTCACGGCAGGTTATCCACGGATCTTATATTATATGCTGGCAACACGGCTAAGAGCACCCCGGAAATGAATATTTTAAAGTCTGACTCAGCGTTCTTGTGTAAGAATCGACCCCTGTGACAGGGGGGTTACGTGAGTGGCGGGGCACTCCAAGTCGGGTGTTGTGGGCATATGCGTTCCCAGGAAACACCAGTGGCTGCGCTCGAGGGCAGCCGACGGGAGGCGCATGGCTATTGGTGCCGCGG